TTCTGTCTTGGAACTGTGAGGAGGATTTCCTCTCTGCCACCACTACAAGCTCCACCACACCAGCGCTCCTCCTCACCCCAGGATTGCCACCCAGAACTGTCACCCAGATCCAAGCATGGGCAAAGCAAGAGATTCCTTCCTTGGCACTGGCAAAGAGATCCCTGCAATCCCCCTCTAATCAGTCACCTGATTTCCCCTCAGTCTGTGGGGCAGAAGCTCAGGAAGCAGCCGCAGCCCTGGGGCTGTGCTTGGGATTTGTAGCTAGGATCTAGATTCTCTCTCTCACCGCAGAAACAGACTTTTCCCACTGATCTTCTAAGTTGTGTTCAGGGTTGAGAAGTCTGGAAACTGCCACGGCTGCCCGCGATTCAGTCCTCTGAGGCCTGCTCCAGGGTCACTGCGGCCTGCATGCCAACATTGAACTGTGCTCCTCTCCCAGCCCAGCGCAGTATACCTTTCTGATCAACCATCCAAGTTGTCTTGGGCTGGAAATTTGCTTCACTCTGTCTTTTTGTCGGTTCTGCTGCTTGAGAATTTGTTTAGAGCCATTTTTTTACAGGTATTTTGAGGAGTTTGGGGGAGAGTTCAAGCAAGTCACTGCTTTCACTCCGCCATCTTGGCTCCTATATCCCAACCTTTCTTTCAAACCACCATATTTCACTGCATAATTGTCACCACCACATAATCATTGCACCCTGGTTTTTTTTTTTTCAGTCCAAAAATTGGCTTATAATCTTTCATCTCATAATCATCTTGTGGTATAATCCTGTTCATCACACAGCTTAAAAGGTAAACAGAGCAGCAATGCATTCACCAGTGGCATATGAATATGCGTTTATCTCTCGCACATTGCAAGCCTAGAATTCTCAGCAAACTTGCATTATCAGTATATTTCTGAAAGCCAACTTGTGTGGTTCGTTTAGAGTGCTGCAGTACTAATGGTATCGTCATTCAATCCAATGAAGAGCCATAGGCACAAGGCAAGTGTGTCATCAGGTGAAGCTGCCATGAGTAAATCATGTGATGTGGCAAGACTTGCATCTTCCCACACTAGCTAAACTGTATAATTCATTGGCCAGCACTACATTAACATGCAAAGTATTTCTTTCTGATTATGGGCAAATATCATGCACCAAAGACAATTTAGTAATAAATGGTTTTTATGTTATACCAACACAATTAAAAAAAACCTTCACATAATGGTCATGCCCCATTTTTTTTTTTTTTGCAAAAAAAATTGGCATAAAATCTCTGATGATTATGTGGTGAAATACAGTGCTGTAGTAATGATGACTGTTCTAAGAATGCTGATAACATTTTCATATGTCATAAGTAAACAATTAGACCTTAATGAGTGCCTTATAATTAATCTTTAATGTTTTCCTTATGTTTCTTCTGGGTCTTTCATACTGAATTTTCTATTAAGTTCTGGTCTTTTCCTTACAATTACCTAAAAGTCTTTCAGTTTGTCAAATGCATATATTTCTTTCACTCAAGATTATACTCAACTTGGCTGGGTAACTTATTCTTGGTTGCAACCCCAGCTCCTTTGCTCTTCAAAATATAATGTTCCAAGACTCATGGTCTTTTAGCGTAGAAGCTGCCAGGTCTTGTGAAATACTGACTTTGTCCACAGTACTTAAGCTTTTTTTCTTGTTGCTTGCAGTATAATCTCCTTAACCTGGAAATTTTGAAACGTAGCTATGACATTCCTGTAAGTTTTCTTCCTGGGATCTCTTTCAGGTGGTGAATGGCAGAGTTTTTTCTATTTTTTTTTTTATTTCTAAGTGTCTTATTTTAATTTTAGAAATAAATACACTTAAGAAAAAAATAGAATTTGAAAATTCAGGTCTTCCTGGCTCCAATGCACTCTGCCACAAAAAAGTACTCTTATTCTAGTCATCCAGCAAGCAACCTTAGGGTTATATTTAATTATTTAGTTGCCTGTCTTTTTAATAATCAGAAATACAACTAGGAAAGGAAATGACTGATCCTGGGAGATTGTAATTACCTTCTTAACCAGATGCTTACAAGCAAAAGCTGGATAACCATTTATGTGTTAGAGGGAATTGTTGTTCAGCTGTCAATTAAAAGGACCCCTGAAGACCTTCCAGGTCTGACAGGGAGAAAAATCAAAGGTATAAATAACTTGAAACAGAACTAGAAGTGGACATTCATTTGTTTCTATTGCATTAAACACTTAGGGATAGATATGACTTAGTGCCTTTTTTTGTATTTCCACATAATTTGTTGATGGGTTAATAAGTTTACGCTAAATTTAAATAACTGAGGATAACCTTTTTAAATTATATATGCAAATAGGCATAGCATGTACAACAGGATCCATCTTTAGGTTGTCCAGAGTCCAGTAAAATGGTAGTCACTGATGGTCAGTGTAATCACTGATGCGAGATCCATCAATATAACTTGGTGCAACTTGATGAAGCTTATGTCTTTCACATACTGCTGGAAAACACTGGCGGCACTTGTTCAGGCTGTACTTGTGGATCAGGCCATGCTGGTTTGAACAGATGAGGCACGACCAACACCCCTGGCCGAATTTTCGAGGGTGGCTTCAGTAGAGCTGCTGGTGACCCATGGCGCCACTAGTAAAGACATGAGACAAAAAAAAAAAAAAAAAAAAAGCGAGTTTTTTCTATTTCTACTTTACCCTCTTGTTCTAGAACTTCAGGCCAATTTTCCTTAATGATTTCTTGTGATATTGTGTCCAGATTCTGTTTTTGATCATAACTTTCAGGTAGTCCACAATTTTTTTATTGTCTCTCCTTGATCTGTTCTCCAGATCAGTTGTTTTTCTAATGAGATGTTTCATATTCTCTTCTTTTTTTTTCTAGTTTTGTTATTTCTTGGTGTCTTATAATATCATTTGATTCTACTTGCTCAATTCTGGCTTTCAAGGAATTATTTTCTTTCTTAAGATTTTGTGTCTCTTTTTCCAGTTGGTTAACTTTCTTTCCATAATTTTTTTAAATTACTTTTATTTTTTTTCTAATTTTTCCTAGTTCTGTCATATTTGATTTTTGAATTCCTTTTTATTTTCTTCCTTTAGATTTTGCATCTCTTTTTCTAATTGGTTCCTTTTATTTTTATAGTTTTATTGAATTGCTTTTTTCCCCACTAATTTTTCCTTTTTTTCTTTTATTTGATTTTTTGAATTTCCTGTCAAGTTTTTCCAAGATTTCTTTTTGGGCTTGTGACAATTTGACATTACTCTTTACGAATGAAGTGGCTTTTTTTTTTAACCTCACTATTTTCCTCTGAATATGCAACAAGATCTTCTTTTACACCAAAGAAGCTATCAATGGTCAGGTTCTTTTTCCTTTGCTCACTCATTTTTATTGTATACAAAATACAGAATAATTCCTTTGGCTGACATATGACACATAGGCTAAAATAAGCAAAGCAATATATCAGCAGGGTCACAGGTTGGGCAAAGCAGGAAATATCTCCTCTGACGAGGTGGTCACAAAATGGATGGGCTTCTCCTTAGGTTAGGCAGGACCTTTACATATGCCCCAAGAACATATGGGGCCAGGGAGACTTTCCATACCATGCCACCTCCCATGCTTGGTTTAGTCATGGAACTTGAGCAAAACGGGATGGAGATATCCTTGTCAGCATTCTTGTGGTTCTGCATGTGAGCTCCATAGCTGGTAAACAAGTAGCAAACGTTATATTAGAGTTTGAAGCCTATTATAGAGCCCTTCTGTTAGAAACTATATTCCTATGTGACTTATGCAAAGCATGGATTAATACATGGCTTATTCTTGCCCAAATATGGAAAAGAGTCATGGCAAAATACAGAATTTCATTGTTTGAGAGATCTTGCTCTCGAGAGCCAAAAATGGCATACTAGTGGGGTGAAGCATGGGGCATCTCCACTGACTAAGTGGTCAGAAGATGGTCACCTGCTCATGCTGGAAAAGAAAGAGTGGTTCAGAGGCATAAAAATAAGTTGGGGAATTTTCGATGTAGTTGTGTCACCTCCACCACACTGGGCTTGGTCACCATGACAAGGAAAAACAAGAGCTGAGGGTCTGTTGTTGTTCAGTCATTTCAGTAATGTTCAGCTGTTAGCAAACCCATTAGGGCTTTTCTTGGCAAAGATACTGGAGTAGTTTGCCATTTCCTTCTCCAGTTCATTTTACAGATGAGGAAACTGAGGCAAAAAGGTAAAGTGACTAGAGACCATATCTGAACTCGTAAAGATGAGTCTTCCTGATTCCAAGCCCAGTGCCCTATCCACTACACCACCTCGTTTGCCCTTTCCCATCATAGTTTCTCTTATTACTAAGTAATTAATTATGTAATTAAGGACTATATGCTGTTGACAGATCAAAGCAATCCTAAAGCAAAGGCATAAGCTGTTTTGGATATGACACATACCCAGAGTGACCTCAAGCCCCTAATATAATAACAGATAAGGCTCCTTCACTTTGCTGGGAACTGTCTAATACCACTCGGTGCAGTCCAGATTCTGACAAATATCTTTCTAGAGTCCTCTTCATGTTTCATTTAGATAAGACTTTATTTCAGTCATTCAGGAAGCTAACTAGATCTTTTCTTTAACTTTATTCTCATTTATTAAATGTTTTTCCCCAGAATGCCAGACTTTTCTTTAGAATATGTCAGTTAGATCAGTTCTGATAAGGAAGAAATTTCACATCACCCTCTATCTTTCTCCTCCACAGATGTACCTCACAAATAGAACACAAACTTTCTCCCTGATTCCCTCAGGAGACACATTCCATTTCTCAGACACAGCTTTATTCCAAATGATGATATAAAATGCTTTTCTCCAAATTCCATCGGGTTCTTACTGCGGCTTCAAGAGTTGACTGTGACACCCATAAAGGGTATGACCTTTGGGCAAATCCCTTCTCTGGGCTTCAAGTTTCCTCCTGTACATTGATGGGGATTGGACTATTGAACTCTGAAGTGTCTTTCAGCTCCCTGTCCTGTGACTTTTGGTGATTTAGGAGACAATGACATTCAAGGATGTGGCTGTGGACTTCACCCAGGAGGAGTGGGGGCCTCTTGGACCCTCCTCAGAAGGAGTTGTACAAGGAGGTCATGCTGGAGAATGCCCAGAACCTGCTCTCTCTGGGTAAGGACGCTTCCCCTGGCCACTCTGAGTCTGCAATTGGAGGGAACATCTTCATTCCCTAGTGTGCAGGGTTTGGAGCATCTATTGATTATTAGAGAGAGAAAAGTACTGGTCTGCTGTGTCCAAGAGACAGACCCCTCCTGCTCCCTGGTTTTCCTCTAGGAAGTCTTTGCATTCTGTGATAGGGACCTGAGGGTTTTCTTTGTTACTCCTGAAGCTGTCGCTTTCCATTCCCTGGTAGCATCAGGTCAGAGATCCAGTCAGTGTGGAAGCATCTCAGATGTGGATCTGACCTCAGAGGTTAAAAGTCTCACCTCTACCTGGGCGTGAATTCTGCTGCCAAATCTCTGAGTTGCTCAGGTGGCTTTTCCCTGCGGCCCCTTCCTCTTCGGGACGGGCCAAGGATTTGGCATCTTCTTCTTTTGAACAAGGCAGACGGTGGTAGCTCACAGCTCTTCAATGTGTCTGGTGTAGCAGGTTTGTCCTTCATCTTCCTTCCTGTTACCCCAAACTTCCAGCACAGATGGTGGGAAAGGAAGGGAAGGGAATGAGCATCCATATTCACCTGCTGTTTGCTATGGGCTCTGCCAAGGGCTTTCTTTACAATATTATGTCACTTCATCCTCATCATAACCTTCCAGGTTAGGTGATATTATTCCCCCCATTTTAGAGTTGGGAAACTGAGGCAAACAGAGAGTAAGTGACTAGTCCAGGGGCACACAGGTACTAACTATCTGAGGCCAGATTTAACCTCAGGCAATCCTGACTCCAGGCCCAGGGCTCTCTCCACTGCACCATCAGCTGCCTCTGATTTCTAGACAATGGAAACTATGCATTGAGTCCATCCTTCTATGAAGAAGGTGCACCAAGACCAAATTCTCTGGCACCAGGCTGGTTCCAAGATCTTCTCCCCTACCTCTCCCCAGAAATTCCAAAAATTAATGCCATGGAAACTATCCTTCAGAAATCGTGGGAACCACCCTGGCGTCCTTGCTTGCATGCCCCTGTGAATGGTAGGGAGAAGGGACTGGCTGAGAAAGTTTGGACCAAGTAAGGTTTGTTGAGTTTGGCAACAGGAGCCTCTCCCCCAAAGAGGGAAACATTCCCCGAATGAACAGCACACAAGGTTTATATAGGGTTCAGGGAGAGAGGAGCCAGGTAGGGGAAGAGGGCAAAGGGTGATTCATCAAGGTCCCTGGAGCTGGGGCTTGAGTTTGATCTGGCACAATTACCCTCTTACCCAGTTTTGGGGTGCAGAGTTTCTGCCAGAATGGAGCATAACAGGATGGGGGGTCGAGGGTTTGGCTGTTTCTCAGAACAGGTTGTACAACACATCCTATTTTGGATTATTTGCATTACAAGCAGTAATGGGTCAGTAGAGACTCCTATGTGTGACCAGAATGGAGTGATCCTCAAAATGGAACAGCTCTGTGTCCATACTCCTTTCCCTATAGAGAATTAAATTACAAATTTCTCTCCATGCTCATCCCTACCTGATTCCCCACTTCCAGGACTTCCAGTTCCTAGAGAAGATGTGATCTCTTATTTTGAGCAAAGGGAAGCACCATGGATACTGGAGCAAGAAGGCCTGAGGAGCCGCTGTCCAGGTGAGTGAGGTGAAAGCAGGTCTATGAGAGCTGTGATTACAAGAGGCTGCTCTGTGTTGTGGTGAAGCAAGGGCTAAATTTGGGGGCTAGAAAACCTGCCTTGGAATCCTTTTTCAGATTTTTTTTAGCAGTGGCTTCCTAGGTCAGTGGCTGAACCATGGAGCCTCAGTTTCCCTATCTGTAAAATGAGGCGGTTGAACTCCATGCTCTTCTAGGGATAAATCTATGATCCTATAAGAAGTCATTATTTGGAATTTAGGGGCCTGGAATTCTCTCAGAAGTGCAAAAAGGGCTTAGATTATCCAATATGAGCTCTTTCTTAAACCTTCAAGTTAGCAAATTTTTAAGCACCCTGCTCCATGCTACTCCCTGTGCTAAGCCCTGGGAACATAAAGAGATGCAAGGGTCATCCCTGGCTGTAGTGGAGCTCCCATTATGGTGGAGCAGACATCACTCCAACAACTCTGTAGAAACACATTCTAGACAGGATAAATTGGAGCTGATCAAGAAAGGGAAGGCTCTGAAGTGAAGGAGGACTGGGAAAGGCTTATTGTGGAAGGTGGGCTCTAACTGGAGCTTCAGGGAAGCCAGGATGAGTATTCTAGGCAAAAGGGATAGTGAGAAAAACCCACGGAGTCAGGAGGTGGAGTATGCTGTCCACAGAACAGAAAGGAGGCCCATACCACTGTATTATAGCATATATAGGGGGGTAGTAGGGTAAAAGAAGACTGGAAGAGTAGGAGGGGGAGGTGATGAAGAGATTGAGCAGCTCTAGGGAGGATTTTGTATTTGACCCTTTTGCTACAGAGCCATTAGAGGTTGTTAAGTAGGTGTTGATGTGTTCAGGTGAGAGCTTTAGGGAGATGAACTTGACAACTGGGTTGAGGATTGAGTGGACTGGGGGGAGATGAGGCAGCCAGACCAACCTGCAGGCTCTTCAATACCTAAGGTGTGAGGTAATTGGGACCTGAATCAAGAGAGTGACAGTGCTGGGAGAGAAGGGGGTGTATGGGAGAGATTCACACAAATGGAATCATGGGACTTTGCTGCAGATTGAATATGGGAGTCAGGAGGGTGAATGTGTGAGAGTCGATGAGGAGTGCATGACACTTCATCTCTGAGCCTGGATTATTGGAGGATTCTTTGGATAGCAATAGGAAAGTAGGCAGATGGGAGGGTTGGGGCAAAGAGAATGAGTTTCACTTTGGATGCGGTAGAAGGAGAATCAGGAGAGAGTAGTGTCACTAAAGCTTAGAGAGGAGAGTATCAAGAAAAGGGGTGATCGGCAGTGTCAAAGCCTTCAGAGAAGTCATGAAGAATGAGGATGAAAAAATGGCATTGAATTTAGCAATTTCAAGATTGTTGGTAATTTTGGAGAAAGAAGTTTCAGTTGAACAATGACGTTGGGAGCCAGACTGCAGAGAGTTCCAAAGAAAGCCACGGAAAGGAGTTGGAGACACCAGTTAACAACTCAATTGCAAATTTGGTTAGAGCAATGTTTACTTCTGTAATTCAAGTGAATTGCTAGCATTTAACCATAACCGTAAATGTGTGGAATACTTGTAATTGTGTATTTGTGTTTTGGGTATTTATGTTGTTATATTCCCTCATAGTGTATTTGTATATTGTGTATCCTTGTTAGTTAAGTGGTTTTATTATCTTTCAGTGTACCCTTTAAAATGGGACAGATGTGTTGTAAAGGCATGGGGGAAGATACAGCAGTTCCTATTAGCAAACCACCAGAACAAACATATGCCTTTGAAATGCATAAGAAACATGGCCTTGACTGTCCCTCATATTGCCAGGATTGGGTTGATTTAACTAATGATGACCCTAAACTTTGCTGGCCTGGTTGGGGCAGCTTTGATAAGATCAGATTAAAGTATTTAAGGCAGAAATTGATGAATGAGGAAACTCAGCATCTTGAGTGGGCCAGCTATAATAAATGGTACTCAGAGGCAAAGGAAAGAGCATAGGTCTGAATTAGAAGCAATGAAAGAATGGATTAAATCATTTGAAAATTTCTTTAACAACCCCCAAACTACCCAACTACCTAAAATGTACCCACATTTACCAAAAAACTCCATCAGCTCCCCAGCTTCCATGTTCCTTTTCAAAAAGCAAGCCAAAGTTCTCCCAGGAGTCATCTCAGGTCCCCGGAGGACATAGTTCCAGAATATTCGAAGGGAGGGGTTCAGCACAAATATAAGACTATTATCATGGAAAACTAATTTTCCCCAGAGAATTTCCTTTTAAATCTCCTAGTATTTATATGATAACTCCCAACGGAAAATTTAATTGTAATACAAGGTTATGTCTTTTAATCACTGATTTCCACCCTGATACATGGAATCCAGCTTGCTCAGTCTCAACAATCTTGATGGATCTGCTCAGCTTTATGGTGGAAAAGCGCCCCACATTGGGCAGCATGGAAACTTCAGACTACATAAACATGCAACTTAACACATAGAGTTTGGCATTTAACTTAAAAGACAAAGTATTTTGTGAATTGTTTCCTGAAGTGGTAGAGGAGATAAAACAAAAGCAGAAAGCACAAGATGAACTCAGTAGCCGACCACAACCCCTCCCATTGTCAAACGTGGTCCTTGATGGGGACTCTCACCACAGTCAGAATGGGCTTCAGCTTCTACATGGGCATGGGCTGATGTCTGGTCCCAATCATGAGGGCCTGCAGCAGGCCCATCAAAACCACTGGACTCTTGGGAGGTGCTCTGGCCAACCTGTTTGTCATAGTCGGCTTTGCCGATTTTGCCTACACAGTCAAGTAAGTCCTGCAAACCATGGCCCAGGAATGAGCTGCAGGCCGGGATTCCAAGACCTTGGTTGGATCGAAGCGAGTGAGACTCTGGTCATCTGAGTGTGACCCTGGGACAGATGACAGCTAAGCTGGGTCTGGTCCTGCTGGGCTCCTGGGGTTTAGTTTTGGAAACCTTGACAAAACACAGACAAAGCCAGACCCCAGGGCCGGTGCAGCTGGAATCCAGGAAATATGTGAGAGTCTTGAATTCCTGTCATCTTAACCTCCCTGTGTGTCTGTCGCTGTACAGCAGCTCAGCTCCATGGATGAGAAGCCAGCGCTCTTAACGCTCGATCTCTTAGCACAGGCTTCTATTCAGTTTGTTGGACCTGTTTGAAGTAAACACGTTTTTTCATTTTACATAATTCGGTCGTTCAAAAAAACCTGAAACTCAATGACTAGCCCTTGTTGTACGTACTGTTATTAGTTTAGGTGAAGGACTCTGATTTGGAATGAGGTGGAAGTGGCCAGTATCAGACTTGGGAGGGTGGTCTGGGGGGCTCACTGGATTGCCCTGCAGGAGCCTGACCACTCCCCATTTCATGACTGAGCTTCAGTGACAAACTTTTAGACTAATCCAAGGCCAACATCGATTTATCTCAGCATTTTTATTGTATTTATGTTCACTTAGAATGACAAAAGAAATGACTTTTAGGAAAGGGTCTTTTCCTTCTATACCAGCCTACCCCCTCTCAAAAACATGAAATTAAGGTTCTGTTTTGCAAGATATCATTGTTTACTTAAATAAATCTGCAGAGAAACTGGAAAAAAAAATAATTAGAGCCCACATAGACAGCAATTGGTACTAATGGCCCATGTGGGGATGGTTATCTGCTCTCTGGGAGGTAACTGTCAAGTTTGACATATCTGTGGCTCCCACCCTCCACTGGATGTTGTTTATTTCCCCTTAGCCCACAGCTGTTCACCCTTCACCCATAGTTGTGTAGTTGTATGTGCTTGTATATCTCTACACTTAGAGGGCAGGTTAAGCCCATGGAAGCCATTGACTGGAGTGTAGGAGGAGCCACAGTGAGTTCCTGGTTGAACTCTTGGAAAGAAGCCGGGTCCAATATGAGAGTCCCTGGAGGGTCTCTCCCACTCTAAGATGGAGGCTAAGGGAGGCTAGGAGTAGCAGAAGTTGGACCCTCTCCATCTGTGCTCTTTGGCATCTTGGCCTCAGACCATCCTCCCTTCAGACCCGTCTAAGTCCTCTTCCCAAGCCTCTGGCCCTCCAAAGGGTAGAGTGGTATGGTGAAAAGGACTGGCCTTTATAGGCAGAGAAGTTGTTTGGTTCCCAGCTGGGCTGCTTCTGCTGTGTGTCCTCAGGCAAGCCTCTAAGCCTCTCTTGGCCTCTGCTTTCTCACGTGTGACATGGTGGAGATGGAGCTAGATGGACTTTGAGGGCCTTCCCACCTCTAAGTACGTGATCCTAGGAGTCTCCCAATGGCCCTCTGCCTGCTCACCTTGGGGAGACAAGATCATCCTTTCCCGTCGAGTCACGGGGAAGCCACCTAACATCTGGCATGGGGAGGGCACTTCTCGATTCCCCTGGGCATGACAAGCTTCCTAGGGTCTGTCACTTTCTCTTGCCACGTGTAGCTTCCTTCACTGGCCTGCAATTCTTTGGCATCCTTCAGCTGTTTGTTTATACACAGAGTTACAACCTGTTCAGCCCCACCAGTCAGTCGATCAATAAGCGTTTATTAAGCACCTGCTAATAGCTCTCCAGGCACTGTGCTAAGCACTAGAGATAGCAAGGAAGACAAAGACAGTCTGTGTCCTCAGGGAGCTTCCGGTCTGATGGGGAACAAAACATGTGGACAGCTTTGTACAAAGGTTCGTGCAGAATAGACGGGTGATACTTATGGGAGGTGAAATTTTAGGGGGAAGAGGGCAGGCAGAGCCTTCCTGGGGAAGATGGGATCTTAGCTGAGACTTGAAGGGAGACAGGAGGCAGAGGTGGGAAGGAAAGCATTCTGGGCATTGGGACAGCTGAAGAAAATGCCTGCAGCTGGGGAAGAGCCAGGAAGCCTGGAAAGGTAGGGAGCCAGGTCATGGAGGTAATACAGAACCACAGGAGCCGATGGAGTAGGGGAGTGATACGGTCAGACAGGCACTTGAGGAAAATCATTTTGGTGGTGAATGGAGGATGGAATGAAGTAGGGAGAGACTTGAGGCAGACAGACCACCCCCCAGCAGTACCTATGGCAGGGGTGAGGTGATGAAGGCCCACATCAGGATGGGGGGCAACAGCAGAAG